AAAACATTAATTAAATTAACACTTAAAAATATATAATAAAATTAAATGAATTCTAAAAAATAAATAAATAAATAAATTCACTATGAACAGTGCAGTGAATTGCACTGTTCATGTGAACAGTGCAATTAACATGTACAGTAAATGAAAAGCAGCATTTATCTGCTCTTTTTTTTAAAAAATTACGTGGGATCCATGCACAGTAACCAAACGGCTGCAAACTGCGTTTTAATTAAAACGCAGCCGCAGCCGCGTAAACAAACGGCACCTTAATGGTGATGAAGGCACAATTTTCACATTATCCTCACTATGTGCAATTGCCTCTGGAAAATTACCTAAAGAGAAACAACTATCATAACCCAATTTGGTTTTTGGATGGGTGGGTAGACGTAGAGAATTGCTTGGGACATCTAGCTCTTCACCAGGAAGTGATCCAGATGAATGATGACCAAACTGTGGTGAGAAAAGGCCAAATTTCTTTTCTTCTTCTGCACAGCCAAGTAAGAAAATACTGCATCAATCTGTTTCAAATGACATTATCATTCATAATATTAATATAAGTCAAACCACTAAGAGGTTCAACATAGTGGTTGTCACGACCCGAATCCCGGATCCATGACCGGCACATAGGCAAGGTTCCCCTCCAAGGTTCCATACCTATGCGAACCCAAACTTACATACAAATTTATCCTAACTCAATCAGAGTTCAACGCATCATTAATAACAAAATCAACTTCATAATATAATTGAATTGTCTTAATACAAGAGTTAATATAATTTCATAGTTTTGGAGCACTAATTAGACATAAAGGAAAATGCACGGATTACAACCAAAAGAGCAGGTTCTGAAGGTCCAACAAAAGTGACCTGCTATCAAGCTATAAGCCTGAAAATGATAAATAATGAGAGTGTGAGTTCAACAACTCAGTGAGTAGATAACGTTCAATATACACACACGAGATAATACAATAATGAAAAATATATATACAAGTATGAATTTAGGTTCTTATAAAAAGGTTTCTCAAATAGGCCATAACAAGAATATCATATGGTAAAATCGTCAGAAAATCAAAATGCAATGAGCATGAGGCTCCGTACTGTGGGATGATCAGTCCACACAGGTTGGTGACTCCCCCGACCAACTAGGGTTCAGATACGATGTGCACAAAGACTAACATTACCCTGTTAGCATGGGTATTCTGACTGACATACCATAGGGTCATAATCATAATCAAACAGACATATTCATATCTCAAGGCTCAACTCATGACATCAATCAAATGAGGAGCTATCAATTCATAAGTCAATCCAAAATACATACTGGTTCATATCAAGAATTCGGATTCAACGAATGATCATGCTTATCATAACAAGGATATTAGTCACCAAATATATTACCAAGAAGCATGATCCAATTCATATTAACAAATCAAATATTTATAATATTTCTCATGCATATGGAAAATTATCCACTCACCTGACTCGAAAGCAAACAGAAATCAAAAGCAAACACCGAAGAAAATCCTACTGACGTCCTGCCGGTAGAATATCAGGATTATCTGAATACAAAGGAGACATATTCAAGAATGACTCAAAAGAATATATAACCTATTTAATACACTTATTTAAGTATATATTCCATAACCCTATATATTTTTGAACTAATTAGTTATATTCCAAAAACCCAAAAATTAACGATTTTCTCAAAATCTAATCCACAATAAAACAAATAATAAAATTGGTAATACTTCACTAACTAACCCTCAATTATTCATCAAACACATCTGCAAAAGCTAATATTACAGCTAGGGACTAATCTGTAATTTATTATATTTTTAAGGGTCAAATTGTAACTTAATCCATTTGGAGGACCAAACTAAACTTATCATAAATCCATGAATATACTGAAATTCTGACCATAACCAATCCTCATTTCTGTCCAGATCATCTCATTATACTCCAGGGACCATTCTGGAATTTTATCAAATTTTTAGGGTTAAACGGTAATTTTTGTCAAATTGAAGGACCAAATTGAAAGTGTTAAAATTTCATAACTATACAGGAATTCTGCCCATAATTTATCTTTTATTCTGTTCAGAATCTCGGAATATGCCCCAGGGACCAATCTGTAAATTTTCCAAAGTTTGGGGACTAAACTGTAATTTCCACAAATTGAAGGACCAAAATGAATTTTCGTCATCTTCAACCTCCAACCCAGAATTTCAACAGAAACCCACTGTTCTTTCCTTATTTCTAACATAATTTCACCATTCAAACAAAATCATAACTCAAAATCATCATCTTTCAATTCAATCTCTCAAAATCCACCAAATAATCCATTAACCATAACAATCAACCCATAAAATTCAATTAATTCATCAATCAAACCCAAAACACAAATTTTCAAAACCCTAACATTTATCAAAACCAAAATTAAAACTTAATCAACACATATTTATATATAATCTTACCTTTAAACTTATTTCCTTCAACTCCTTTCTATTTTTCTTCTAATTTCTCTCTTTTCTCTTCTTCTTCTTTCTCCCTTCTTTCTCCTGCCGATTCTCTCTAATTTCAGATCATTTATTTTGTTTTTTTTTTTTTACTTTCTATTTATATTTATCAAGTTTTGTTGAATTACTACACTACCCCTCATTCATTTATACCTACACTTTAAGCCACCAAGGGCTTTATTGTATTTTCCTACTTATTTATTCAAAACATTACAGTGGTGGAGCTATTAAGGGATGCACACGAGAGTGATCAATGAAATGTCCAAGGTTCCTAATAAAATGAAAGGGAATGTCCAAGGAGCAATTGCAAAGGGGCAAGGAGATGCAACCCTCAAAAATCTGTTCCCATCAAAATTTAAATTATCACTGCAAATTGTCTTCACAGATTTAATACTTTAAGTTCTACAAGTGTAACTGACATTCCAAAGTGTCTGTTTCTATTCCTTTCAACCACTAAGAAGCAAGAACAAATGCAACTACGCACTACCAGGCAACACCACTTTGCACATATAGGAAAATTATAACTAAATTCACTTGCCATTGGAGCACTGAAACAAAGAAATGACACAGCAAAAGAAGAAACTTTTCATTCTGTTTTCTCTTTCTTTAGCAAAATGAAGAGATGTCTCATATTGAAAAAAGAAATGGTAAATTCTATATCTACACTGCATCAAAGTGGGAGACAGAGAGAAAGCAGACCAGTTTGGGGAGGGGAGCAGGTAATGGTTCAAACATACAATTGGTTCAAACATACAATTTACCAAAAAACTTTACAACAATGACAAGACCATTTATAGAGTTTTTGCAAATAATGAAAACAACTGCATCTACTATTCTTAAACATAATCATTAGTTTTTTCCCTTCAATAACACATGCAGAATCAATCCACATGTCCAGCCAAAACAAACAATTTGGTTTCACTCTCTGCAGCTCTTTCTCAGCCAAGTTTGGCTCAGAATTGCACAGCAAGTACAAGAATTAGTGTCATAGCAAAAAGATGTTTGCTGTAATGGTGGCTCTCCTCTAGAAACAAATGGCTGCATTTTTAGTGCTTGCTCACATTCTTGATCAGCTAGTTGTAAATAGCTCTAGATCAAAAACAGCCAAGCTAGTAAATCAAATTATAAATCCATGCAGCAAAAAGAAAAAAAAAGGATATCAAAGATATTTACCTTCCACTTCTCCTTCCCTTGTCTTATAGGCTATAGGGCAAATCTTCATAAGTAAGAAATCCAGCAATTGACACACACGTGGGAAGTGATTAAATGGGTGCCGACAAATTGGACAGTGTGACTTGCGAAAGCCATTCATGCAACGAAATACACACCAGAAGCATGAAATGTGGCCACATGCTACCAAAAAAAAGGAGAAAAAGGAAGGATTTGTAAATATAAGATTACAAGCACCCAGTATAAAAAATTGAAAGTTTTGCCTCCTTACCTAAAACAACTGGCTTGTAAAGTAGGTCCCTGTAAAATAAAGGAAACTCCCTTTAAACATGTCATACACTAGAGAAAAATTGATTGAGATATTGCTTAATTAACAACTATCAGGGGTCAAGTCTGCAAGGCTGTAATTTTGGTCATTAGCATGAGCCTTCTGTTTCTACATGCAAACATAGGAAACAATACATGGTTCCCAAAAGATCCAGGTATGGATAGTCTGCATGACTCTAGAACTTTAGATTAGCTGTTCATTTGCTTTTTCAACCACAGATGCCAAAATATTATCAATATTATAAACAAGCAATGATTAGTATAAAAAATGCATAAAGGCCTCATAATTCTATATTTTTTTTCAAGTAAAGGTTAATGATCTTCAAATTGTCCCCGTGAATATCATAAACACTTGGAAATGAATGTGTAGCATCCTCAACCGAACTTGCTAATTTTATACACAAGAAGTTTCTACAAATGATCGCTCTTATCATTGGAGGAAGCTGGACATGTACATTATGCCCAAAAGCTTCTGGAAATCACTCCATTTTAATCTGATTTCATGTTCCAAAAATGAAATACTTGAATGTATGTTGTCAGTCACGGCATCATCAGTGCAGTGTAACTCACACAATGTTGATTAAATTTCAAAAAATGATCTTGACAGCCCAGTTTCTTTAAATGACGAATCAGGACAAGCAGACACAAATTCAATGCCAGTCATGTTACTGCTGAATTTGTTTTCGGATCATTTAAGATGCACAAGTGAGTAATTCTATAAACAATCATAAGCGTTAATTCCATCGAATTCTACATTTACATTGCTAACTTTGCATAATTACCAAGGTTCAAGGCCATGTATAGCGAGACACCATACAACTAACTTGTTACCATAGAAATTACAGAAGCTAAATCCAAATTAAAAACAAAGGAACTCCATCGTACTTTGTCCCTTATCATAAATTTTAAACGGTAAAGCTCCATAAAATCTTAACTATGCATCTTTTAAGCATACATTAGAAATCCAATACAATTAACGAACTATTGAAGCACAAAGGTGAAACACAAAATCAAAACAAACATGAAAAATGTTGCAATATGACCCTTTTTTTTCCTTATTGTCTAGCAAATTGGGTCAAGCTATTGTTCTATTAAACATTGAAAAGTTGGTTTCTTTTCGGCACATTACAGTAAATTATAACTTCGTTCCCTTTTTTCTCCTTTACTATTTAACAGAAAACAAAACACTTCTACCAAAACTAATTAAACGGCAACAGAACGAAGCTTTAAGCATTACAAAAGGGTTAATGTCAGCATGGAAAAGCATGGCTCAATCAACTTTAAATAAATTGAATTCTACACAAAAAAAAGGTGGCAATTAAAGACTTACAGGCAAACAGGGCACTGAAACTGACCAGGGAAATCCTCTTCTTCTTCATGGTCATTACCTTCTTCCCTTTGGTGATGATGTTTTGGAGATGGAATTTCATAGTTATTATCGTTTTGGCATTGCATTTTTTATTCTTCTGTTGATGGGATTTTGTTGTTTTCTTGATTTTCCATATCTCTCAATTTAAAGAGACGGATAGACAGAAAGCATAAAAGGAGACACGTGTACGAGGATGTGTCATTCTTTATAAACCTAGCTATGAGTTGTGCTCTGCGTATCTTGGATGGCTTTCCTTGTAAAAGAAAGGGAAGGGATAAGGGAAAGACAACCCATTTCAATTGTCAATTGGTAAGGAAACGAATTCAAGGCTTCATCCCCAAGTCGCTTGAGTAGTGGTCAATCTATGGATGGCTTGGTTGGGTGGTTATATATGTTTTTTTAGGGTTGGTTATTCATTATGTTTTTGTTAGATTTTTTTTTTCGCGCACTATAATATGGGACATGTCAAAAAAAAAAATTCTAGTATAAAAAACATATTTAGATTATAATAACATTAATAAATTTATATTAATTTGCAACTTGGATAATCTCAAATGAGAAAAAAAAAATAAAAGGTTTAAAATCTAATAAAACTAATTTTCAATGATAACATTGAAAAAAATTAATTTAAAAAAATACAAGGGAAAAAAAATATGAGTTAACTCGGGTATATTTTATTAGCCCGACACCGGTGACATGAAATTGAAATTAAAAAATATTTTAAAAAAAATACTCTAGAAAAAAGAAATCAAAGTTAAATAAATAAATAAAAAATCTAAGTCACCAAGGGTTAACCTAACAAACTTGTGACCCTGAATAATTATATAGAAAGAAAAAATATAAAAAAAATAAAAAATCTCAAGACCCAATAGTTTAACATCAAATGATGAAATTAAAAAAAAAAAACACTGAAAAAAAAATTAAAACAACCCAAGTTAACTTAACTAACATACAACCTAGGATAACCCCAAAGAAAGAAAAGAAAAAACAATAGAAAGTTCAAGACCTAATAGTTTAATGTCAAATGATGAAATAAAAAAGAAACATCAAAGTTAAATTAAACTAATATTTGAAACCAACAACCTTGTTCATGAGACCGAAATGACCCTACAAAAACAAAACAAATCTTGAACAAAATTTTTAACCATCAAAAAAGAAAAAAATAGTAATCAAAACAACGAGAATTAAATCCCGTATAAAAAATAATGAAAGAAAAAAATGATGGACTCAATCAAAAAAATAAGAAAAGGAAAAAAAAAGAAATTGAAAGAATGACTACCAAAATTGGATAAATAAGTAAATGAAATAAAATGTTAAGGGATAAAATTGAAATAAAAAACAAATTAAGAAAAGGATAAAAGAAAAGGCAAATAAAAGAATAAGAATTAAATCTGAAAAAAATGAAATAAATGTTGAGGGAGAAAATTGAAAGAAAAAACAAATCAAGAAAATAATCAAAAGAATGACTATAATATTTAATATAAAAACTAAACAAAATCAAATGAAAAGGGATAAAATTAAAAAAGAATCCAAAACAAATAAAGATCCATCAAGGGAAAGATGAACATAGTTGAAAGATGAAAGGATAATCTTGATTTTTAGTTGACCTGACATGAATTTCAAGAAGATGAGAGAGAAAATAATGGGAGGAGAAAAGACTTAACCGCCATTGAACTGTCATGATTTGAGAAATGCTCTGCCCCAGCAGCTTCGCCTACACTAGACATTTTGAAAAAGACGGCAATTGAAAAATTCTAGTTGTCGCACGACGCTGCATGTGCGATCCAAAAGGCACATGCAACATCCACCCGCTAGCGCGTGTAATGCACGGACCAATAACTTTTCATTTTTTATTTTTATTTTTATTTTTATTTATGAAAAATATTAATTTAACTCAAATTCAAATAGAGTATAAAAAACTATGAGAAAAGTATTAAAATATTCTTTGACTCATCCTTTAATTTTCTTGACTTTAAGGACAATAAAGTAATTATACTTTTTGTAAAAAAATAGAAATTACACAAAACCCCTTTTAGTCTTTCATTTTATTATTATTATTTTATTTTATTTTGCCTTTTAAGGGCATTTATGCCATTTGAATATGACAAAAAAAATGTAAACTATTAAATTGTTCCAAATCAATTTATAAATGACTTTTAGATCCCCTGTAAAATATCATTTTACTATACTAGTAAGGCAAAAAATTTGTGTAGAGAAGGACATAATAGTAATTACACTATACAAATCCACAATCAATTATCTCATAGTCTACATCAAAACAACGATAGTTTTTAAAGTTTTTCTTTTAATATGTTCATGTTGTACTAAAAATCAATTTTCTTAACATAAAATAGTTGGGTGTTACTAATATCTTTTGTTGTGTAAAAAAACTTAAACTATGTGAGAGTTAATTTAATTTGACATGATTGATTTAGTAGGTTCATAGATAATTTGAAAGACTTGTAAAACATGGTTTAATTATAAAATAAAAATAATAAAAACAATAGTTTAAAAAATATATATATTGGATCAATTCGGGTTAATCTACCAAATCTGCAATCTGAGTCATAAAACCATCATAAACACATATAAAGAATATCAAAATAAATTATAAAATCAAATTCTCAATCAACTTAATGTTAAATGATAAAATTAAAAATTAAAAAATTAAAAATTAAAAAAATTCATGAATCAACCCAGATTAACTTACTAAACTTATAACCCAAGTTATTAAATTATGATAACTTTATATAAAAAAATAAAATAAATTATGAAGTCTAATTTTTAGTAGACTCAATATTGAATTATGATATTGAAAATAAATTATTAAAAAAATATGAGTCATCTTAAATTAACATGTTAAACTCATGGTACATAAAAAGTAAATTAAAATAAAAAATCTGATAAATTCAATATTAAAAAATAAAATAAAAAATAAAAAACTTTATTTTAGTGATAAATTAATAATATCACAATGGTAAATTCAATTTTATTCTGATTTCGGGCAAGCAATCCATCGAAGATGGTTCACTACTAGCATGTGAAATTCTACTGATACACACACATATTTGTTTCGGATAAAGGGTGAGAAGATTTGAGTTCAAGCACATACAAATAATTATTTTTATTGAGTTGACATCGAATTTTTTAGGAGTAGCCTGGTGCCTCATCGTTGCAGACAAATGTCACCTCTGTTCTTTTTGTTGTTATTATTATTACTAGACTAATGTCTCGTCGGTGTACGCATTTGGTGATCAAAGCTATACTATAATTTTTAATTGAATACTAACATAATGGAAATAATAGATCTGATTGAACTTGGATGGTTATGTGGCCAAATTTGATATTTAATTAATCAGAATTTTAAGTAACGACTATTTAAGAAGAACAAAATGTGTTCAAATTTATAAATTATTTTGTTATTATGATCATAATATTTATGCTTCCAGTTATACAGGAAACGTGGGTTCAGGTGTTGTAAGAGAATACCACTTGATTGCAAAAGAATACTCTATCATATATTTATTTACATATATTTTATTTAGTACTAATAAATAAAATTAATTGTTTATTGCTTGCTTTTTGCAATCCACGTATACCGGCACACAGTTACAAGTACTCTAAACAACTAAGTTATGATTAGTTACTATCCTATCACATAAGAGACAACAATTAAGTTATGATTAGTTATATATATATTTGCGCTCCCACTATCTTTATAGTGTTAAGCTCATCACAATTTTTGCAAATTGCATCAAAGCCAACTTATGTGAATGAATGATTTGTAAATTTATTTTTATAATTGTTATTACACATGGCACAACGTCTCTTGACATAAAATTAACTTAATAAATCTAAAAACTACATAAATCGGTAAAATAACATGATTTAGAGTTTTTTTAAAAAACTTCAAATTAATTTTTTTTTAATATAAAACATCTACTTATTAGATCAATCAACGCTTTCCTACTTAACCTATTAAATTCATAATTTGGATAATAAACTCTACTAGAATAAAAAAAAAAAACTATTGGAGGATAATAAATAGAAACTTATAAAATCAAGTGCAGATTAAATATCAAATTATTTATTTAAAATTATGATTTCTTCACATAAAAAAACCAAACAATTTATGAAGACATTCAAAATCAATAAAAATTTTAAAGATGAAATTAAGGAATTGATTGAGAAAAAAAAAAGGAATAAACAAAATCACCTTCACTATTCATTTTAACAACTCTTAAAGATGAAATTTATAAACAAAATCACCTTCACTATTCATTTTCACAGTGAAGGAGATGAGTTAAAACTCCAACTCTTAAATGTGTTAGGTAATCTTATCATGTGAAAATTAATTAAAAAAAATTATCAATAAAAAAAAGTGATGAGTTTAAAAGAATAGACAACTAGATAGAAGATTTCTTTTTCAATTATACAGAAAAGAAGCAAATGTCGTATCTAAGAAATGTCATCCAAGGCAGAGGGTATCAAGAAAAGAACCTCACAATCATTCATGTTTACCTGCCTTTATATCGGCTCAATCTTCACCAGGAACAGACGCGTAAAGAAAACGTTCCATCACAAAGCTTTCAACTCAATGCCCTTTGTATCAAAGCATCAGCATGCTGAGGAACCTCGCAAAACAAGTATACTTGCACTAAATCATTCTGAGTAATTTGTGTTCAGATCATAACAGATGCAACACTCAAACAGCTAGTCGAAATCAGGGAAGCCTCAGATTCCCCTTGTTACATGTACAAATAATTAAAATAAGAGAAGAAAAACAAATCAAAGTTACTGTATCCTTTTATATCATTTTTTTTTACTGGAAGACCATGTCAGAGAATGGAAAGCTCAGCAAGTTGACATCGGGGGATTTGAAGCACCAAATGGCAACGCTTATTTCCATATCTTCACACATTTGTCATGACTTGCAGAAGCAACCATCCCTGTAGCTTGTGATTGAGCCAAAGCTGATATCACACACTCATGAGCTGCAACTGTCATACACTTGTTCTCCGCCATGTTCCAGAGCTCCAATGACTGAATTAGAACAATGGTTACAACCCAAGGAAAAGAAAATAGAAACCAACATTAGTAATTAATGAAATTGTTAAAAGTAAAAATAAGTATAAAATATCAACAATTGTAACGCCGAAAGTTCTCTGTAAACAGATATTACGATCCCATGAAGTTAATAAGATACTTTGTTTCCTAAAACACAAGCACAACACATCCCCATGAATTACAAAAGGTAGGTTAAAGTTGAAACAAAATCCTTATATCGTTGGATTGTCTCCTAAAAATGCAACAAGGTTGATCTGTTTCAAATAAAATGGAACTTGAAGTACTCACTT